TTCATCGCCGTTTTTGACGTAAACTTTATTGATATTATGTCTTCTAGGACCTGTAAAGCACTTTGTCTATCTCAACCCTCATAGTGGACAGAATCTCGATCCATTTTCATTTAAAGCCTTCGTAGGTGTTTTTTGAGAGCATGTCAATTATTATTGCAACTCTGTTCGCTGTATCATCTTTCCTTGAAATTTTACTCTGGAGAATTGCGTCTTCTAAAAGACTGTAATGACTTCATCTTTAAGAGCATTCTGAAAGACAGTTCAAGTGCAGTGTGTTAGAGATATCACAGTTCGAAAGCACGGTGGTTTGCGAATTCTTAGTTATAAATTCAATGATATGCAATATACTCGTTGCAGTGTTCATCAAGTGAGTATCGAAAGAGACTAAATATGATCAAGAGACGCTACTCAATGCCTACTAGGACACGACGAAAACACATATCATGTCTTTTCTGGTTCCGGAGGTCGATTGATTGTCTCTTCAACTCTGGCTGCAGATCGATTCCATATGCCAGCAGCAACACCATACAACAGTCCATCTATTAGTCGAATTTCTTCGGGGCCAAGATGATGCATGCTGATAAGATTGCCATGGAAAATAGCAGGTCCCTTAATGCGTGAGTCAACCTGTAGCTTTAGTGCAAAAAGGAAATTGCAAGTACTTACCCAATGTTCAATCGGATCCATTAGAAATGATCTTGTTAGATCTGCCTGATAATGTTGCTCCGGTGTCCAGGGGAGAAAACGTTGCCTGCGCAGTTCGTCGCGGGTATCGGTGGGATAGATTCCTACATTGGCGAGACACCTCAAAAACATAAATCATAGTGACAGTTTCAGAACTTCCGTTCGAGGAGGCGGGGAAGGGGGGAGGGGGGAGTTTTCGGTGAAGGTGCGTGGCATTAGCTACTCACTTCGAAAATTTCCAGGAATGCTTTCAGATTTTTGCGTGCCATAACCACGGAATTCTAGGGAAAGGGAAATCCCCGAACTATTTTCTACAAAGCTTTGAATTTTTGAATTTCGGTACCATTTGCACACTTTCAAA